TGAAAAGAAAGGAAGAAAAGCAAATTTTCCGTATTGTTTTTTTGTCATTTTGTGAATGCAGATGTGGTTTAAGTGAGTGTAAAGGTCCATGTTTTGGGTTTTTGGAAGTGTGAATCCTGGATGTTGCATTGTGTAAAAACCTCACAAGGCTCGTCTGTCCCCTGTGAGGTGTGTTAGGCCACAGATGGTTCAGTAAGGACTGAGGGACACATGAGAGCCATCATTATCACAGCTTAACAACCTACTTGTCTTACTTCAGCAGCCGCAGCCCTATTGTGTGTAAACATCAACAGCCATGAGGTTTAATGAACTCAAACCAAACGTTACTACTCTGACAATCAGAGTTCACAGAAGACTTTTCCCATCGTGTCTGTACCTGTTGAGGAACTTCTCTGTGAGACTGTGCTGCATGTCGCTGGGTGGAGGCTCTTGCTGGACTCCTCCCTCCAGCAGCATCTGCTGGTACATCTGTCTCTGCTGCTGCTTCTGCTCCAGGTGCTGCTGCACACGAAGACGCTGGCGGTAGAACTCCTCGTACTTCTCCGTGGAGTCACGGAGCTGAGGAACAAACATTAGTCAAAGGTCAGGTCGATGTTTTTCTGACTCAAATCCTGGATGATTGTGTTGATTATGGGCTGGAGATTGTAAGTGTTTATGATTCTCCCCATCCAGACTATGGACCCGGTGTGAGTTAAAGAAAAACTGCCCCCAAAATGATACTGCCACCAACATGTTTTAATGGAACGTGCACAAATGGTTTTATCTCATCAAAGATTGGAAATCGTTTTGCAGGCTTTCCTTTAGTCCACTGTTGGGACAGGACTGTAATCACTTTGTTCTTTTTTGTTCAGTTTGAGTATGTGAGAAGGAAGGAGGGTGAGACTGGAGCCACAGACGGGTCACTTCCCCTCCCTGCCCTCTGTGTCTTCTCCTGGAAATCTGATGAGAATAGATCAATGTTTAGAAAGGGGAGGGGCGCTGGCAAAAGCTGACAAAAGGGTGGGGTGAAGGACGGAGAAAAAGGCAAGAGAGCTTGAGCAGGGAAGAGACTGCGAGATCACAGAAGCCACAAAAAAGTCTGCTTCTGTTTTTGGTCTCTTTGAATGTCTCTGTGGCAACAGTCTGGAGGAGCTGAGATCTAACTTCACACACACGCTTTCCAAAATAATAAGCACGAGACAGAAAGAAATAAACTGCATCAACACGAGGGCACGAACTGTCTATACCTGGCCAATATAGACCACTTTAAAAACTGTATTTCGACAGGGACTGTAAGAAACGCCCATTCAGAAAGTGTAGCACTCGCTCAGTAATGTGTGGTGTACAAACAGGTCTAACAAGTCAAAAAAGGCAAGGTCAGTGACATTTACCTCGTCCTTGTCAGCAGAGCCAGCAGGTGGTGCGTCCTCACCTGGAGCTGAGGCAGGACGCAGGTTCTGAGCTCCACCTGAACTCAGCATCTTGTCCACAGGAGTTTCCGTCCTTGATCTGAAAGACGTGAAAGGGTTTTAATATATTACAAACCCACAGAGATTTCCCCAGTTTTTAAGCAGGTTTAATACCAGCTTGGAGGACTTACGTTTCAGGTGACTCCTCAAAAATGCTGTGGCAGTCGGAGCTCTCCATCATGAGACTCCTGCTCAGGTTCTGTCCTGCTCCGGGATAGTGGAAATTGGCAAACGAGTGGGACATGGGAGAGACTCCTTTACCCGGCACTATCTCACCACCACTGGCTCTCTTGTCCTGACCAGACAGACCGTAGGACAGACCGTCCAGGGCTGGGTTCAAGGACCGAGACATGTAGGTGTCTGCAGATTGAGGACGTCTCAGTGGGGAGGACGGATACGGAGACAGTTTGCTGATGAGAGGGGTGAGGAGGTCAGCGTAGCCAGTCTTAGCGGGTTTGACCACGCGGTCCACGTGAATGTTGAGATGCTTTTGTTCGAAGGCGCAGGAGAAGGCGCTCTGAGGGAGTTTCTGCATCCAGCAGAGCATGGAGAGGTCGACGTCGTCACAGCCGTTACCACACAGCATGTCCACGCCCAGGAGGATCTCACTCTCTGTGATCTCCTCACCTGTGGCTTTACTCTGCTCAAAACAACGACAGCAACTTAAGCATGGGCCTAACAGTGACAGATTATACTGTACGACTGTATGGACAGCATTTCAAACCTGGCAGAACTCCACGCAGCACTCATAGAGGACTCCCTTCATAAGCAGCTGGAAGAGTCGGTCACTGCTGGCTTTGAATCCAGCCTCACTCAGCTTCCTGTCGGCTGGAATAAACTCTGCCACCATCGTGCAGGCTTCCTCAAAACACTGCACCCTGGCTGTGCTCGGGTTCCAGTCCTAAAGGGAACCAAGGCAGGAAATAAAACATTTCTCCAGTATTTTGAAGACAATGTATATTAGTCATAACTGATATTAAAAAAAAAGCCAAATCATTGCCTTAAACTCTGCGTGGTTTGTGAGACGGGGCAGTGTGAGGAGCAGACATAGTTTACTGTAATCATCCTTGGAAGGACAGAATTCCTCCAGGGCATGAAGACACTTGACTGCTTCCTGCATAGTGAACTCCAACTGTAAAAGATAAAACATACATTTCATGTCTTTGTCTTTTGTTCCACATCAGGGAAACAGAATTAGACAAACAGCTATGGTAATCTGCTGTTGTACTGAAAACATTGGCTCTCATTCCTTCATTCCTTACTTCAGGACTGAGCCTTTGTTTGCTACAAACAAACAGTAACAGTCAGTGACACAGCAGCAGAGTACAGTATGAAGACCCGACAACAGGACGTACATTTGGGCAGCTGTAAAAGCACTGTGTTTACTCACATGCTGTGGCTCATCCTCGGCTGACATGGCATTGTTCACACACAGAGCCTCCAGAAACTTCTGTTTCAGGACGATGTAGCGAAATCTGTGGCATAAAACATGGACATTGATGACATTAATGCCAGCGATAAACACAAATAAAAATCAACACAGCGGTGCTCCAAACGGACCTTTTTGTGTCAAACTTGTCCATACACTCCAACGGCTGAATAAACTGCAAAACCTCATCCCACTGCCCGTCCAGCACCAGTTGCCTACAACATTTTAGGATGAAAATACTTGTCATTATTCATAAATGTCATTATTTCAATGTAGTGTTAGAACATGAGAAGAGAAAAACATTGTCAGGGACTTTCAGGATAAAACTGTAACAGTGCACATGATGCACTGCTGGCTGACTTTCAGGAAATCACTCATGTCCAAAGCATCCGTGCAGTGTTACTATCTCTGATGCAGAAACACTAGACGGCTGACTCTGCCTGCTGGCTGTTGTTCGTGTGCCACGGCACACGGAGCTGCAACCTGAGAAGGCCATGATCAGAATGGGGACTGAGCCTGTTACTCTGAAAGTCTGACCTGAGGAAGAGCATGTCATCGGAGTATAGTCCATTGATGACGCCGCTCTCCTTCTCCAGGGCTAACATGCTGATGTGCAGTTTCCTGGAGTTGAGAAAGTCCAGGACGGCCTTGATGATTTCCACCTCCTTCACGTTAATAGTTTCTTCCGCTGTCATTGTGACGACGGGCTGAAAACACAAACAGAACAGGGTCAGTTCTAATTCAGTCTGGAGGCCTGGGAAAATTTGGATTTTTCAATGGAAATCCTTGGAAGCCCATACGTTTTGGATACAGCCACTGAAAAAAACACCTAGGTATGTGAATCTGATAAAATAACTAGAGGCTCTCTGAAGAGTATAACCCACAGGCAGAACAAGTTTCATCAACGTAAAAACTTGCCAAATCCGACCAACACCTCCTTCTGTGTCCAAAAATAAACTGCTGAGCAGTACAGTCTGTTCTAGAACAACAATCCTGGGTTTGCCTGTTCTATGGCTGTAGGAGTGAAAAAATAAATACTGTAAGTACATGAACTGTTCTGAACCTGAGGCTTAAGTAATTACATTATAATGAAGAGAGATTCTGCTGTATGTGAGCTCCTGATAACCAATCTAATATTACTGAAGCCTATATGTAAAACTTTAAGAATCTATTCAGATGGAATAATGACTCTTTCATCATATACCTGCACTGTTACTGTTACTGTTGGTATTGCTATACTGTAATTACTACTACCTTTATGAGATGTAGTAGTGGCAGCATTAGTACAATGACTATTATTTGCAGTTGTTCGATGTGTGTTTTATTTTTGCACTGATTCTTCGTTAAGTCAACTAAAAGGAACTGTGGTTGGATCCGGTGACAACACTGGTTTGATGAGAAACATCTGAGTGAAAACATTCAGAACTGCGTTGACAGCAAACTCAGCCTGCAGGGTGTGAACCACAGCAACACATGCTGTGTTTACAGTCTGTCCTCCTCCTCTAACGACCGTGGCCACTGTCTGCTGGAAGCATCCTCGGCCATTTAATGTCCAGGCTTCAAACATTTACATACATTATTTAAATATTTTTTAAAAGGTAAAATAATGTTTACATTGTTGTTGTTGACAGATGACTGTACACTGCAATGCTGCTGAGCTACAGTTACTAGCAGTCAGAACGACGAGGCTAATGTAACAGTTGCACTAAGCCACACTGTGTCCACTGATGTTAGAGGATTAAGCTGTTTATAAATGTTAACAAAACACACCAACGTCGGGATTACCGCTAAATACAAAACAAGGTCATTTACAGCCCGAGCTTAGACAGAGCAGGCTAATAAGGGCGGTGAGGAGGGGGCGCTGGGAGCTTTAGCCGCCGGGCTAAGGAGAAGCATCCTCCGCTGGTTAGCCGGACAACGGGCGGGGTGAGAGTGACAGACAGCTCGGTGTTTAATATCAGCGACAACGACACAAAAAACGAAACCAGTGATGAACGTAACAGAACTCACCTTGTGTCTAATAATACATGGGGTAAAGACGCTGCCCGTTGGCTGTTTGTGACGCTGTCACGACCGCACGGCTCTGTGTTGTGCTGTGGTGTCTGTCCGTCAGTCCTCCTCCTCCTCCTCCTTCTCCTCCTCCTCCTGCTGCTGCTTCTAACTGGATCTTTCTTTGGCTCTCACTGCTGTAGTCTGATGATGATATTGGTGATAGTGCCCAGCCCTGATACTGCTGCTGCTGTCTGTTTGTAGAAGAACTCCATCCATCCATCTGCTTACATGTAGTTTGTCATATTTATGTGTATAGTGTTGGGTTTGTGTTGATGTGCTGCTATCTGACTGCTTAATTTTCTTTAGCAAAATGTCAGTGAGGTGCAAAAAAACAATATTATAATTATGAAATTTGCAACAACAACAAAAAATAATTCTGTGTATGTAGTGTGTTAGAGTATTTATTATGAATTGATCTGAAACCTAACACTAATACCACAGCTCAGACCCTTAGGGACCATTGGTTTTCCATCTGAGACCCACTGTGAATCATGACAAAAGAAAATGCAAATGTTTCCCTCCTTCGAGCTGTCAGGGATGGATTGTTAGGAGCCAGCTGAGCACCAATATTGACACAGTGGGAGTCACAGAGCCCCTATGTTTGTCTGTTTCACCTGAGAGACGTCCCACAGAACACTCAACCAGACACAAAGACCAAACTGTTCAATGAAGTACTAGACAATAAAAACTCATAACAGCCAAAAAGAGATATGGAATAACAGACTAGCCTGGTGTGACTATAGTCTTTATCTAGCCTCGTAATTATATTTACCATTGTGTCATACAGTATTTCATCCATGTCACTGTCTGTGGTTGTAATTTCAGTGTGTAATCAGTGTTTAATTAGAGATGCTGAGCTTTTTCTGGAATCTGGAATCAGGATGTGCTGTTTATTAAAGTGATCCCAATAACAGGGTCATGTGGTACAAGGGGGTCATAGAAGAAAGATTTTCTATTATGACATGATGTTAGTTGTTGTTTTAATTTCAGCAGAATGAGTTGTGTGTTTACTTCAAGAGTCGGCCATTTTGAATGACTGTTGTTATTATGCAGTAATTCACAGTAGCTAAATACACATACACGTACATGTATGTTGTTTGACCTCCTGATTGCCCGGAATGTAAATCTTTCACAAGAAAATTAATATCAGTGAAGTAAATGAGATGAGACAGAAAATAATCAAGACAGGGTGAGGTCTGTTTGATTGCCTGCATTTTAATAAAGCTCAAAGGAATAAAAAACAACAACAAATATCCGTGAACAGTTAAGAATATTCAGTTTTTTATAAAGAAAATAAACCCAGAGTTGGAAAAAAATAGTATGATTTTCTCAATGTTCGAGTGAAATGCATTCACCACCACAACCATGCCTCACAAAGAGCTTCAGTGAAGACCTTTCTCTCGTTCTCTCACCACTGCTCCATCAGCACACGCCTCCAACAGATTGTTACAAAAAATACTTCTTTATGCCAAAATATATCTGTACAGTGTTAACGCATATGTGACAATAATGTGAACGTAAAGTAACAGGCTGATCAGACTTGATGGCTGACGGGGGTCTTTAAGTGCTGTCGTAGATGGATGTGTTTATTTACAGCGGTGTCTTTTCCAGACGACAGCACAGACAGTTATCCACTTGAGTTAAAAATAACATCGTGACTGTACCATCTGCACACACCGACTTTACATTGAAACAACTCTTGGGTCATTGCACCGACGGATGACACAGTGTGGGAATTTCCATCTAATACTAAAAGTGATGATAGTTTTACAGGTGTTACTGCTGAGTGACCACACTTGTAGCACAGAGGCCACCAAAAATGACTACAACATTCAAACATATACATGATAAATTATACTAAAAAGCTACTTAAAAGCTACTACAAGTTCTGTTTGAATGTAACCTGTATTGTACATTATAGAAACTGAATTAACTTATTTCTGTAAAATAGGTTTCTGCAAATAAAAACTAAAATACCTTACCTTTTAAAATATGCTCAGAAATAAATTAGGGAGAGGTTCTTTCCAGACATAGACTGTTTAACAGAAACTTACCAAGGCATACAGTTGCACAAGTAAAGGCCAGAACCTAGAGCTGGAGTCCAAGTACTGGATTATGGAAGTCATTTTACATGAGAGGAAGTCAAAAAAAATAATAAGGACCATCCATCCTTGTTCGCTGGTTTCAATCGTTGAAAATAATAAGGACCATCCATCCTTGTTTCAATCGTTAAATCGTTTTTGGTTTCTCTTTAGTAGAAGTAGTACAAACAGTTTGATGAAGACCTCAAATGTTTTGTTTTAACTAACAAACCACTTAAGACACTGAAGTGAATACGATGGTCACTGTCTATCAAGAACTATCAGAGAAAAAGTATAGTTAATAGTTAATAGTAAATAGTTTTCTACATATTTCATATAAGTTTACCAGTCCCTGTACTAATTTATCAAAAAAGTCACAACACTACAGTCAACTTGACTAAACAATAGGTGGATTCAGAGAGGAAGCCAAATTACATGGAAGAAACCCATGTACACAGGTGGAAAAGGGAATGAGGGAAGATAGTAGTTATTGTCATATAGTAGTATTGTCAAATTATTCTCCTGTTGTGCTCTATGGTCTGTTTTCCTCTAAATGGAATCAGATGTACGAATTGACCTATGATGACCTATTGAAGAAAACCTGCATTAACATTTGACTTCCTTTCATAGTAATAATAACTCTCATAACCAGTGAAGCTTCTGCTGGACTCCGCCCAGGGCCTCACTTTGATGATCATTTGTAACCACAGACTTTGGTCCTTTTTTAATATACTGTCTATGTTTCCAGAGTTGTTGGATGGGTTTCCATCTGCTCAATAATCTCATAACATTTAACACTTTACTGCAATTTACTGCAATCAAACCACTTGAGGTATTTTCCTCACTCTGCATGGCACTTTACTTTTCTCTCTCATTCACGCACACACACACACACACACACACATACATACAAATATCCATGAGTGTTTTTCAGTCATGTGTAAATAAAAAGATAAAACCCTAAGAAATTGAACACACACACACACATGCCTGTGCAGCAGCAAAACTTATATAAAAAATGCTGCTTTGACCTGATCACAGATCAGATTAAATGGCCCTGGAAATGTAATTTGTTCCCACACACACACAACTTGTCCTGTACTACAACATCATTTTTCAACAGGCGCTGACAAAATGCCACAGACACACACTTCCATGTGACACAAAGCAAACATAAGGCCACACATGTTCGACACACAGAATCCAAAAAATCATTCAGTGCTTCAGTGGTTCAACCAGGTAAGGCATCGCTCCACCAAAAGTCCTTCTTTTTTTGGCACACAAGAACATTGATACACATGCTGACATATATACAAACACACACACACACTCTTAGGTTAGTCCAGAGTGTAACAGTCACAGCTCTGTTTGTCTGAGAAGCTCACTTGTGTTCTACATTCCAGTTTAGGGGCCACAGTTTCCTTCAATAAAAGTCAAATTCACAAATCCGTTTTTTTTTCCAGAGAAGCGAATCATCTGGAACTACTTGGGATTCAGTTTTTTAGGCGTCCCCTGTTTTTTAGCCTGCCACAGATGGCTGCCGATGGTGATAGCGTCCACGCTAGCGGACATGGTTTTGGCAGGGATCAAGCTGAACTGCTTCCTGTCTGAGTTGTACTTGTAGAGGCCCTCGATCATCTTTGATGTGATGCTCTTAGGGCCGATGCCGGCCAGCCTGGTGATCTCTTCAGTCTCTGGGCAGTAGGTGTACACAGACCTGAACTGGCAGCCAGCGTCACGGAACAGCACCAGGAAGATGTTGGCCTCTGATTTCTCCATTTCCTGTAGAAGATTGTGGAAACAATCTTGTTAGGTTTATTTTGGTTCTTCTAAAGTTCTTCTGAGATGAAGCCAGTGCTAACAGTTTCTCCTCAGATCAATGAGATCTGTACATGTAGACTGGAGTGAGTGCCCTTGTTTTCCTTGCATAGACATAGAGACCGTCTTAGACATCAAGCTTCTGTCAGAATGAAGGTTTGTTTTGGATTCTTCAGAATGTTTACTGTTGTATTAACTGGTGACCTGTAAGGCATGCTGTCAAGCAAGATTACACCTGACCAACAGAGTCACATCAAACTAGTCGTCATTAGTTTTCATCTAATGCAGACACTGTGAATTATTGTTGCTAAGCAACAGTGGACCCGTTCTGTCAAACTCTCATCCTTCTAGCATTATCATGCTAGTCAATGTCTTAAGGATGCTATCCTGTGACAAGGCTAATAAAAACAGGTCTGAAATAATAAATAATCCCAATTAATCGTGGTTGTTTACAAACACTATTAATCATGACCAATTCCTGGATAGATTATTATAATAATCCAACAGTAGAGAGTGATAAGGAGTCTTGTCAACCCTGATATTTATATTTGCATGTCACCAGTTCTGGAAATAATTACTATACTAGTACTTTTAGGGGGATTTTTGAAATGAATCTGTATAATAATCACTTTTTGTGTAGCCTGTGAAATCCAAATGTCCTACTCTAAACGTCCAATGCACCCTTAATGTCACTCAACCATGCTAAGACTGAACGTACATCAAGTATCTTGTTTTTCTGGCCCTCGTTGACTTTGCCGGCCAGACAGCAGTGAGCCAGGGCGTTCTGGATGATGTGCTTGTTAGACTTTGCACTGGGCTCTTTGTATAGTTTGGGTCCTGGAAGTAAAAGAAAACGTGCATTAATGAGACATAGAAATAGGAACACAAACGACGCAGTTTTGAAAATGGGAACTGCATTAACACCTGTGTACTCGGTGTTGGAGGGAGTGGACGATGAGGTCGAGTCATTTTCCCAGTCCTTTTCTCCATTACGACTGCCAGCTGAAGGACAGGATGAAAAACCCTCTGCAGAATCTGGCCTGGAGACGATCATAAATGACAAATGACGCGGACACAATCACAGACAACAGAACAGAATTGGACACACACAGAAAAAGCAAAAGATTCCACAGTGAGACGTGCACAAACACAGATGACAAACACACACAGAGGGTTGTGGCAAAACAAGGTCAGAGAATGTGACTCAAAACTCCAAACTACGCCTGTTATCGGGCCTTACATTGAACTGTACACACACACGCATACTGCAGCAGATAAGCGTTTTCAGTCAAGCACAGCACAGTCTACAGTATATGTATTCACATGGCTTAGCAAACATCAGTTTTAGGCACAAAGCGGCAGCACAGAGAAGCGAGCAAAGCTAAGGACATAAAAACGCAAAAGCTGAAGAGCTGCAGTGGATTCAGCTCTAATTTTCTACAATGATGGGATTTACTGTGTATGAAACTGTCCTACTGTTGACACCACGGCCACTGGTGAGTGAGAGTATGTGATAAGAGGGCGTCTGAAGAAATGCAAACTAAACTACAGTCAAAACCACAACTACACCTCCAGCATGTACACATTTATTCTGCGGAGACACTTCTGTTTGCAGCGTTACTGACCTTCCCTTTCTTTCTTTGGGAGAACTTAGAAAGAACGGGGTTTGAGCAGAAACTATTTTATTGCCTCTGAGGGATGGATTCAAAGAGAAAGAACAAAGAGAAAGGCAATCGAGAAGGAGAAAGGTTTAGACAAGTTTGCAGTGTTTTTGAGCCCTTCATTTTTACATCACTATTTCCAAGTTTAAAAAAAAAATCATGATCTCAAGGTGACCACCAGAGGGAGCTAAATTACCACAATTGGTATGCGTGTACCACAGTTCAAGAATCACTGCAGTGATGGAAAAACCTTAGTTGTTGCTATACAGATTCACACTGTCCTTGGACAGAAAATTAATATGAGTTGTTTCAATACAGGGTTTTTGATTACAACCAAATACCTTTTTTACAGAAATTCTGACTACGGTCAGACTTCTGAATCAGTGCATTGATCAGGGCAGTGAGTGAAATATTACCTGTTGTTCTTTCTGTTGTCTGGCTGGTCTCGGCTGTTGTCGGCCAGGTTTAGAGAAGCCAAAGAAACACTTGACACTGAAAAGCCTCTTGGCCGAGCTCCTGCGACGTGACAGAAACACAAGGTCAAATCAGGGATGAGACGTCGTGATAGAACATCTTGGTGTGTATGGTTCGGGTGCTGCTGACCTGCCGTTCCTACTCGGGGAGTAGATAAATCTGCGACGTCCCGGTGGATTGACTTGGGGCGTGGCTTCTTCTTCAGACTTCCGGACCGAGGCTTGATGACTTCGTCCATGTCGTCCATCAGTTTAAGCTGCTTCCTCCTCAGATATTCATTCTTAATGTAATCTCTCCTGTCTTTCTCCTCATTTTTCTTCTGCTGCTCCTCCTCTTCTTTCAGACTAAAAAAACAAAATAAAAATATACATTTTTAATATATTTTTCCCGGTTTAAAGAATCTTACAGTCTCTTTGGTGTTCACGTTAGCAGTAAGAAAGACAGACCGTGCAGCTTCCTTTTTCTGCTCAGCGTCCAGCTCCTGCTGTTGCTTCTTTTCCTGCGCCTCCTTCTCCCTCCTTTGCCTCTTTTCTAACAGCGCTGCTTTCTTTGCTGCCATCTCCTCCTCGGCTTTCACATCATCCTAGAGATGGACAGACAAAATAACACGGGAGTAAAAACCTTTGAATTAAAACCTTTGAACGGTCCATGCAGAATTGGGCTGCTCACCTTGAAGAAGAATCCACAGCACATCTTCTGATCTTCATCAAGGTTTTTCTCCTCAGCATCTCCCTCTGTGGGTTTCAGCCCAGACAAAGGGATCTCTACCAGGTCTCTCCCGTTCTGAGACGCTCCTTTGACCCGTCTGCCTGAAACTCCTTGGGCCTCAGAAATCGGCTGATGTAGTTCTGGTTTTTTGTTGAACCCTAGTGAATTTCTTGCCTGTTTGACGTCAGTCTTCGACTGAGCCTCGTCACCTTCTCTCCTCTCCTCCTGCTTTTCTCCTCTCTTATCTTTGGCAGTGTCTTTAGCAGGATGCCGAGGAGTTCCAGTGATCTCCTTTGCTGTTGTCTCGTCTTTCTCGTTTGTGTTTTCTTTGCTGATGCTGTCTTTTCTTTCTTTGGAGCCAATGTCGTGGTCTAAATAATCATAGGAGCTGAGCTGGCTTTGGCTGGTGGTGAAACGCCTCAGTCTGGGCAGGCTGTCCACAGAGGTGGGCGTGTTAATCATACGGTTTAAGGGCATCACCTTCAGATCATTCGGTCGTGGATTCCGAGGTGTCCTGGCGTGAAACGAGGCTGGCCGCCGCTTAATGCCAGCAGGGGATCGATTGACAGGGCAGGGAGAGCCAGACGAGGACAGGTTGGGAGACAAAGACCCCACCGAGCCTCGGCCTGCGACGCTGCTGCTGCGCAACTCACGGAGCTGCCTGTGAAAAAAAACATCAGCCGTGATAAATAAGAAGCTAAAGTGAATGACTGAGGTTTAATTTCTACATCTGGTGATGTGTATGACATGATCTGACACCTGTGTGGAGACGGAGCAGGAGGTGGAATGACCCAGGCCTGATGCTGCTGCTCCTTCATAGCCATGATCCTCTCCTGCTGCTGAGCCAAACGCTGCATCTCCGTCTGCAGGAAACCCAGTGACGTATTCAGCCTCTCAATGGAGCGAGTATAATCAGCCAAGTCGACTTCTCCTGGAGTTACACCTGTGTCATCCAAATAACAGAGACAGAGTTTAAATGTCACTCACAGAAACACTCAAATCTTCATCTCCTTTATTATCTCAAGAATAGGTCTGTTAGACGACCTGAGCTGCTGACTCCCTGTCACTGAGTTTTACTTCACAGCAGTCATTTTCAATAAGATATCCAGCATTTGTCACCTGTTTCTGAACTTTTAAGAAGAACAAAACTGGACCTCATACCTCCAACATCTTCAACAGGAGATTTGGGAGCTGCTCCATCAGGTTTGCACCTCTCTGCCCGGTCCAAGCTGGCCTGACTGGATGAGTCTGATGAAAGTCTGTCTGCTCCACCTGAGGGAGAGCTGAGAGGAGCGACCACTCCTTTCCTCCTCACAACGTTCAGAAAAGCTGTTCTACCCATTTTCTGGCGATGGCGAGTGAACGCTGCCTCCACCTGGACGGTAGTTAAAGAAACATGAAGATGGTACTCTCTCCTGCTCAGTGTATTTTTACCAGGGCAAGTAATGTTACAAAGATGCATTAATTAATTAACGCTGCAAAAATACACATTGCACTTTTTTATTTTACATTTTTAATGTGCACATTACACTACGACTGAATTGATTTCATTTTTGCAAATTAATCGTAATTCATCTGGAATAAAAAAATGGGATCCTTTTCCTGCACACATTTTTACCTTCTTCTTCTGAGCTTCAATGGCTCTGCGTTTTTCCTCCAGTTTCATCCTCAGTTGGATCATCTCTGAGGCCAGGAGGTGAGAGGGGTCTCTGGGCAAAGGTGTTACTGGAGAAGGTGACGTGATCGGCAGTGGAGGTGTAGAGATCTACGGTAAAATGGAAACATTGTGGACAACCTGACTTTGCTGCAGCTTTAAACAGTGTCCATGACACAGATTACATCACAAACCTGAGGAGAAGCATTTTCCTGTTGTGCGTATGGTAAGTCTGGGCACTCTGGTGTTGTTCCTCCACTACTCCTTCCCTCCAACTTTCTGAATTTCTGTTCTGCGAAGCTGGTCATCCGCACCATACCTCCTCCAGAGCCAACAGAGGGCGATGTAGAGCCTATGGTGTGGGATCTGTGGAGAACAGGTGCTGAGCTGGAGCCTGGTCTCCTTTGTTCCTCACCTTCTGTCCTCTTGCTCTCATGAGTAGAGTCAACAACCGGTTGTCTTGCTCCTTCCCCATTTCTCAGTCTCTCTGTCTGTTCAGGCAGGGGACATGACCTGGTCATGGTCTCACAGTCTGGGTCAATATCTGAATAGTCTCTGAGTGAGGAGGAATCTTCGTCCAAGCTCTGGATGTCCTCTGTCCTCACATTAATACCAGTGTCCAGTTCATCTGTGGACAGTGAGTTAGGGTCCTGGTCGTTGACTCGAGCTTTAGCACAACCGGGGTTGTCTCTTTGACCACGGTCTCCTGGAGGGTATGAAGGCTCAGCACCGTGAAGAAAGAACCCATTGTCCTCTTCTCCAACTCCAAGACTAGCGTGAGTTCTCTCTGTGTCGTGGATGATCTTCAGCGCTTCCTCAATACTAGGAGGTGTTGAAGGGCTGATGTTGTTGGTATGATGATGGTCAGAGCTGTGATTGCTGTCTGGGAGGACTCCATTGGAGAACCTGAGGACAGAGTCAAAGGAGCAAGAGCTGAAGACAGGTTCAGTCTAAATGTACCTAACAAGCCTTTACATGTGTGGATAAACGTTGACTAAATGAAATTATCCTCTTGATGATGTCAACATTTCAGCTGTACCTTCTTTGGTTCTTGACTGAGAAAGTATTGGTCCGACTCAAGGGTTTACGGGAGTTGAAATCCTCCTCTTCCTCTGGTATGTGTCTGCTCTGGCCGTTGACACTGACCGGCATTAGAGATAGGTGGCGCTTCATGCCTCCTCGAGATGCATGTTGAGCTCTGAACCCGAGACCATCGCTGCTGGCTGAACGTGTCATACCCCTGAGTGAGGGAGTTTCGCACGGTGGCACGGCTGCGTCTCCGTCCAGAGGAATTTCGAAGGAGATCCCACGACTGGTGGAGCTGATGGAGGCAGTGAGTTCACTGTTAGCTCGACAGGAGAATAATAAAACAGAAAATTAAAACGCTCTGCAAGTGCTTAATGGTGTCGCATACTGACCGGTTTTCTTTGGGCCATGTCCCAACACAGCCGTCTACGAAGGACATGGAGGTAGATCGCTTCATGTTACCTGTCAAAAACCATGGCAGAGTTACAGAACATTAGAGGAAATGTTCAACCACATAAATCCTAACCAAGTTTACCAATAACTATTTGTTGTTAGAATGTATTAAGAGGACATTAGTTCTAATGCATCTTTGTAATGCAACCACTAGATGGCATCTGATTGTTTTTTAACGCTTCAGTAACTACTAATGTGGAAGTTTTGATGAAACCACCTGCAGAAAAGACTGTTCTTTTCAGTCCTTCAGTGACGTTCACCTCCATTTCCTATGAATAGTTTATGATTGTGCAGCAAACTCTACTTATGTCGTCATCCTAATCTCCAAGATGGGCAGATTAGGGACTTTTGCAAACAGCAATAACCGAGATCAGCGTCAGGATTGTTTTTACGATTTACCATCCACACAGATGTTCTCTGGGCTCTCAGCTCTCTCTGCAAAACTCGGTTTTACTGGACTGGACACAGGGGCCATGTTTTTCAAGGACACTGGTTCACACACTGCACAAGAAAGAAAATAAGACAACAACAAAATCATTCAGTTTTAAGCTGTACCACTGCTCTAACTATCACAAATACTGTAAAAAAAAAACACAGGTTGATATAATGATTGTGAGATTGTCAGTGTACCGTTGGGGTTGAAGACTCTCGGCTGAACAAATGAGGGCTTCACCACTTCAAACCACCAGAAAAGTTCAGCCATAAAGACCAGATAGTTACTCTGTAAAACACACACACACACACACACACAGAGTTTAATTAAGTCATCAGCCAAATCGGTGTCTTTGAATCATTTCTCTTCTTTCCTCGTGTTTCCATAGAGATGATGATCTAAAAGCGTAACTTGACAGATCAGTGAGGTCAGGGCCTGATGACTGTTGCTTGGTAACAGGCTCAGGTGTGAGTGAACGGGCACCGCCGCACCTGTTTGTTTCCTTCTGCCAAACAGCTGTTTAATGTCAAACTGACACAAAATCAGGACAGGGTTTTACAGCTACTGTGAAACATTTTTAACATCTATTTCTACGACAGTTTATTAATCCTACATACAGAGAGCTGATTTTGCTACAAAATCAGGACAGGGTTTTACAGCTACTGTGAAACATTTTTAACATCTATTTCTACGACAGTTTATTAATCCTACATACAGAGAGCTGATTTTGCTCTGTTTGGTTTATTAAGGTTATTTTTTTTTTTTTTTTAGTTTTATTGTATTCTATATTTACAATGCTGCAAAAAATCCCACAGTGTCTAATTAAGATTCAGTGAGGAGCCAGTTTCTGGTGAATGGGCAAAATGCCAAAGGCTGAAGAAGCTTCATGACCATTTCGCTCTTACTTGCACTAGTTGTGTTATTACCAGAGTGCAGGATCAATACACTCACTGCACTATTGACACACTGCAAACCTCCACAAACAGTGAAAACACTGAAAATGTGAAAGAGAAGAAACAGAGAGAAACAGAGAACAAGTGCAAAGTTTAAAACAAAAAACTCTGCAGTGTTGTTTTCAAGAACGGTAACTCCCAGTCAGTTTGGAGCGTGACTTGAATCTAAAACCCATCTACCCACGCGCTTTGCATACTTTGCCCCACACTGGCTGTGCTGCTTGTACAATCAGGAGGGCACAGAGATGCTTAACAGTAGAGCTTTCATGAGTCTGAAACAAACGGGCAGATCGCTGCCTAAAGACCGACTCAGTCAGCAGTCCTGGTGTCCCTGAAGTTTATGAATTTGGTTGTTTGATAAAATAAAATGAGGCCAAGGACAAAGGAGACAGACAGTGACGGCTCTGAACTGGGAATGTCCTCTGAGCTCTGTCTGTCTAGAGGAACAGAGGAAGGAGAATTGTTGGCCTAGTAACAAACACACACACATACTTAATATGCCACTGACGACAGGGCTTGCAACACACACATTCGTGATCAAACTTTTCCTCACATGACTCATTCTTGCCCATTTGTAATGTCCTGCAGACCTCACTAAGTGTTGGACTGTTCACCAGCCAGCAGAGACTGGAGGCTGGGATTACCTTAGCAGGCTGGGGTTAACTAACTATTTAACTTTTTTACGTTTCAAAACATGTCCAGTACCACTAGCGCTTAAGCACACCACCCAGGAGCTGACGTTTTGTCAGCTGTTGGTTAGGACGGAAAACAAATAAAACACCTGATGGGCAACATACTGCTGGTTCAGCTGCTACAGTACAAAGCTATACTTTAACTCTTTATACCCTGTACTATACTCTGCTGCTGTTAATGCAGTGAATGTCTCCATTGAGGGATGAATAAAGGACTTCTTATCTTTTTTGTTTTAGTATAATTAGTGAAAGACAATATGCAGTTGAAAACTATTGTTTCTGAGGTTTTTTTGTTACGTTTATTATTTTTCTATCTTCGTGGTAATTTTCTTTGTGAGTAGTTCTGCAAACGTGTACATTTCCATTGATATCTACAGTAAATACCGTTGCTCCTACCTTTATGGATGCATGTGCATAGAGCATGTCCTCCAGGCTGAAGTGGCAACAATGGTTGAGGTTGTTCCTGCAGAACTCCTGCACCAGCTGGAGGTTGTACAGACTGTCAGCCAATGACATGGTCTCCTTGAGGCAGATATCTGCTCAGCCACGGGAGGGGTCACAAACGCACCAAAGGGTGGGGTGGAGAGAAAAGGCCAGACAGGAAGGCAGGAGAAAGATAAGGCGTAACGTTTATGTTTAAAAATGGATAATGAGATGAGGAGAAAATGACTCTCCCTCCTGCTATTTTTGTAGTAGTTGATTTAGAGTGTGCTAAAATCTTTGCTGAACTGAATTCCCCAGAGGTTTTTTTTAAACTTCCTTCTGGATGAATCATCAAGATTTTTATCCCCTGACGTGTACTGTACATGAGGACAGCCCATGAATGTGTAGGATATCTGACAAAGAATGGAAAATGTACAGGAAACCACACATTATAATCATTTACTTTTAATTAAGATTTACAGCCGGCCATTGAAACGACGCTGAACCCATTTCTTCCACATCTGGTCCACATGTGTCTGAGCTGCCTGTGGACTACAATCAATCCCCAGAGCCTCCTGGCATAACTGCAAATATCTTTTATGATAGAAATAGCAGTGAGCTGCTCCTCCAACCGTTCTCCTTCACCATCTGAACCTACAGTAGGCCAGGACATTTTTAGAAATAAGTGTGCGGGTGAGCGGAGAGAAAACAAGCCTTTATTGCTTTGTGTTCTCCGTGTTTATCTACGTCCCTAAATCATCTCCGCCCTACATGGTCTCTCTCTGTTTATCACGTCTTCTCTCACAAATATCAAGAAAAAATAACGTCTACGATCAGCTGAATGTGTCGTACTTTAAGATCACACAAAAAAAGTAATTGAAACAGTGTCGTTGTTTTGACCATCCAGCAGTGACACCAAAAGAGAGAGTCTTTTGTGCTGTCCAGCTGAGACTGGACACGGTGTGGTTAGAACTCTGTATACCATTCAGTACTGACTCTACTGTTTTTGTTCTTTGAAAAAAAAAACACAATTAAAATGGGCGTGGGCAGTGAATAAAGAGAGCGTGTGGTTGCAGACTGAGCCTACCTTCCAGTCTGACTGCCTGTGGGCAGTAAAAGTGCAGTAGGGCAGTGAGGGCACACCCATCTGTGTTGTCCTTAAGCAGGTTGTCCACCATGGGGAGTGAAGGAGCGTTTCGCTGCTGGTTGTACTCCCTCCTGTAGCGAGCCTGAAATAAAAACGTTTCCAACACTTAGTCGCATTTTGGTGCTGTCATCGACGACAATCACGCACACAATAGCAACCAGGGATGTTGTTTGGGTTTTATTCAAATGATGCATCATGCAAATAAAAACCGAGGAGTGACTTTTCAATCATATTAAATAGAAATGATCGTTAAAATATTGTTGGTTTGGTTCGATTGTTTGTGAGGGTTAGGCACAAAGGACATGCTAGAAACTGCATGGGATTCACTTCATGCAAAGACCATCCAGTCCAACGTGGGTGAGTTCAAAAGTCAGGGTTAAAGGGTTAAACAAGTCTCTGATCGTACGGAAACAATCCTTATTTAAGGGTAATAGCCAGTGGAAGAGGATTCTGATGTTTGCTGTTAGCAAGCAAGAGAAACACCCAGTTACCTGTTCAACATTTTAAGCTAAACTTTCACTATTAAGGCTAAATAAATGAGGATTTAAACCAAAAATATCTCTGTCTTTACAACATAATTTACAGTAATGATTATAAAATATTCGTACTGGGATTATTATGCTCCTGATAAAAGCATCACCGTTATAGGGTTTGGGATTTTGTCTGGGCCACATGCATGGCAAACTGGATAACATCATCAGGAAGTTGATGGTTGCAGAGCTGGGATTGAATGAGTTGGAGGATGAAGGGTGATGAAGAGGGTTTCTTCAGAATGGAATGACTTACAGGTACTAATCTCCAGTACCATTTGCTGGGAGACTTGATGGTGAAGAATGATTGGAGAACAACAGGAGAGAGTGGGAAAGGCATTAGGGCTAACGGCAGTTTCCCTGCTACAACTCCGAGGGACAACGACTAATAAATGTCTCTATAGAAGAATTCACCATTGGAGAAACAGTGTTGGAGAAGTCATCTTGATATACATTAATGTCCACATGTTAAACTGACATACGCATCAGGAGGAAAAGTTAGTATCTTTCTTAACATGTTTACATGATTATCAGACAGAGGAATACAAAAATCAAAAATAGAAGAAAAACAAAGTAATAACTTTAGTAACCAAAGCAACAGACTGTAGTTAGTCAGTCGTACAGAGGTTCAGTGTGTGAGCACACACATTCACACACTCTGAGTCATAAGACCATAAGGCTGAAGATTTTTCACATTAGTCCAGAATAGACTGAATTTACCAAGAATGATCTTGTGTGTGTGTGTGTGTGTGTGTGTGTGTTAGTGAATAGTCCTCTGTTGTAGTTGATGACAGGGAGTGATGTCAGATCAGCTGACTGGCATAAAGTAAACACAGCCTCTGATTGAACAAATTCATTAAACCCTTTATAGTTATGAAATGAGATGCAGCCAAAAACACACACACAAACACAAACTATACTAATCTAATCTTGGATGGCTCTCTCACTTTCTCTCTGTCTAAAACATAGACCAATGGTTGTCTTCATGTGAGGTCTGTCTGTCCGTCCCCCTCCTCTCCTGCCTGTGGTGATCAGTGTCATCACCCTCACCTGTGCCTTCCTCATTAGTCTGACTCCTGTCACCTGGTGCCCTGCCCTCAGTCCTCTGTGGGTCATCAGTGTGTGTGGTTGGTATTGGTGGAGTAGTGTTCATGCTGTGTGCTATGTTTCTGGATTTTGCCTTGTGTTCCATGCTGCGTTGTATTTTGCTCTTTGTTCCATGCTTCATGTCTTGCTTCGTGTTATTGCTCTTGTGATTAATTTTGTATCCCTGCTTGGTGTTGGTTCCTGCCTGGCCCAGTTTTCCATGTGACTGTGCTGTATTCTAGTTTTGACTGCTAAAATAAACTTTCCCTGCACCTGATCCATGTCTGTCTGCTGCTGCATTTGGGTCTTGCCTGTTTCCTGTTAAACAGACGTTGAAACTGATCTGATACTCCACTCAAATACTCTTAAATATGTCTATACAGTAATATATTTAAAAGTTCTGCTCACTTCCTGTTCAGTTGGCTGTGTTAACTATGCAGAAAATGTATTTATCTCTTCTAAAATGTTTGTATTTATCTGGTTGTTAATTTCATTGATATATTTGCCCAATAGGACAAAAGCTGCACTACATAAATAGACAGGGTTGTGACCTTAGACCTCATGCACTGAACTGTACTGTTTTCACATGGACGTTACATAAAAACAGAGATGACAGTACAGTCTCTCTGACTGCTGACATTTTTTTTGTCTTCATGTCTTTTTCCATTCCTCCAGCCTCCCCCTCCTCAATTTCCCCCCTTTCCTCCGCCTGTTTGTCACATGCATGTTCTCCCCTCCTACTCAGCAACAGCAGAGGTTATGACTCCTGCCAACATTTTCCCTGCAGCTGGCCTGACACTACGCTCATCTGTTCTTCTACTTTACCTATTAATGTCACGCATTTCCTCTCATATCTCATATAGATGAAGTAGAAAAGACAAGATCTAAGTTTTAGATGCAGGTTAAGTTTTCTATTGAACTGATACTAAATAGACTTAATTTTTGAATATTTACTGTATGCCATTTATGTGGTAAACAAATAAAAGATTTATTTATACTTTATGTGTTGCTCCGTTTGAGTCCTGCAGGGAAGCGTCTCTCAGCTTCTGCTCCTCCAAGAGAATATCTCGCAGATGTTCATTCACCTGTAGACACAGAGAGAGAGAGAGAGAGAGAGAGAGAGAGGTTTCAGATTTCACATTTTTTATCAGGCACTCACATTCTCATTGCTAACTTTCAGGGTGGAATGGAGAACCAGGAACAAAAGTCTCCTTACATCAGAGAGACAGGTTTTCATCACTTTTTGTCCATTATCAACCTGCAGCTTAATGTAACTGTAACCTAATACTGAAGCACTCAGCTGACTGGAGGCTGGACCGCACTATACAAACAACTTCAAAGATCTCTTTACTGGCTCTGTTTAATTCTGTAAAACGATTATTTTTACAGATACTCTTCTGCTCAGAGTCGGTGTGTAAACAGTGATAGGAACATTTTGTCCTGAAGTGACCAAAAGTTCTATCAGCCAACACTGCTCAGAGCAGGAGACAGACATACTGTCATCTGTGCATTTCCCTTATTTCTGTGAATGACACCAAGGAAAATACAGTATTAAACAATGTACAATAAATAAAAAATCAGTTCAACACTGAACTGTCATAGACCGAGGACCCTGTGTATAATGACTTAGACGTTAGGATTTTGAAATGAATAGACGTCATTACAGCCACGTGTACCTTATTGATCCAGGTCGTGATTGCGTCCTCCGTGTCATAAGGCAGCTCCTGGATGTGTCCGTCCATGTGTGAGGTTTCGGCCGAGGTGCACCTGTCGATGCAGGACATCACTCTCTCCACACTCACCATCTCCACAGTGTAGGCCATCATCAGCATGTCTATAAGAGCCAGATGGGAACTCTGTAGAACAGAGAACAGCAGTGTGGTCAAAACGGTGTCTTTAATGAAAAATGAGGATGAGCGAATATTATCAGTTCAGAGTAGCAGGCCTCTCTGCTGTGTTTGAATCATCAACCTCATCGTTAGTGAATAAACATTTGTAAAATCAGTGTGTTTTTTGTAGATCGTAGCTTGTTATTTGGACGTCAATACTTACACAAAGCGTTGACATTTTCCTGCCCTTTCTAATCCCATTCCTGGTCTGCCAGACTAGCAGACCTCCCCTTCCTTTTCCTGTCAGAGAACAGGACGACTCAAAAACACCTAAGCTCTGTGTTTTGTATGTACGCACATGCTTACGTCTGTGGACTCAAGTGTCTGTGTCTCCAGCCAACCTAACTGAGCAAACACGTACAGTCAGGTGTTCCGTGACTCTAACCTACAGACACAAACAAGCCGTTTGTGACTTTGTAGAACTGAGTCTGTCACTGTGAAGCAAAGGCTTCTTATTCACCACTTCGGAACCTGAGGTAACACTCGGTGTGACTGAGAGTGAGAGTGATCCTGGCTGTGGTTAGCTACTGCACCATATTCTCCAGCACTAGGTTCGTTCTTGGTATATTTGTTGGTATATTATTGTCATCTATAACCAGCACTGTATTTGGCCTGGGTTTATGGTAGTTTACTGTTAAACCTAAACAAGAAAGCTTTAATGGCAGCTGAGTCTCTTTTTTAAAAAGAGTTTTCTGCAAATGTCCGTCGACCCCACCACCTTGAGTTCAGAAGCCCCTGGTCATATATTATGTGCTCAGCAAGATGTCAAACATGCGTGTGTGTCTGTGTGACAGTCTTACCCAGTCACTGTAACAGCTCTTCCTTATAAGGCTATGGACATTGCATACAAAGTAAAGGGTGGTAAAGAGCTGCAGCACAATGTACTCAGGCATAACAGTGGAGCATCAGTGTTTGTTCTCTGCCTTATGGCTGCAGATATGTGTGTGTCTGTGTGTGTACACTACAGTAGTCACATGATCACAGCCGTTCCTCACGATCTGCATCTCAGATATTTTTCATGAAAGCTGTTTGAGATTGTGTACAGACCTTCTAATCATAATTTAAAAAGAACGATAATATGTTGAAAGTGAGGTCGCGACCCCAAGATTGAAAAACACGGTATTAGTCGTTCTTGTCTTCAGATGTTTATGTTAAACAAAATGGCAAGGAAATTACCATATTATGGCTCATAGTTCTATTGCATTCTGGGAAATGTTCTTGCTTTAAAACGACTTGTAGTCAAAGAGTGATTTTATGACATACTAGACAAGCTCTTTGGAAGAGTGTTAAAGTAGAAGGTGACATAGTTTTATTGGAGCTGCAGACTTGTTTAGACTCACAGTGAGTGCCTGTCCTCCAGAGTACTACAGCAGTACACGTCATGTCTTCTCTGCTCTGTGCTGCGTCTCTTCCCAGATGTTCGTATAAACACTGTCCTTCTTTAACTCTTCTCTGGCGTACACATGCTGTCCTGCTCGCCAGCACCACATAACTTACCCTCCTTTCCTCTAGTCTCGACCCCCACACTCACTCACTCACTCAAACACACTAGCCCCCTCCTCCTGTCCAGTCACGGACGTCCACATTAACGCTCTCTGTTTTCCTCGTGCTCCACTTTCCTGCTTCCTTTTAGGAATGGCAGCCAGAAAACTAAAGTCTTCCCCCTCCTTTTTCTCTCTCTCTCTATATTTATTTCCTCCCTGACACACTGCCATGTCCCCGCTCCAGTTATTCCCCTTGAGCACAGGATTTGGAAAACCGTGAGGTCATCATTTTCTCTCAAACACAAAGTACCACAATCGGTACCGAAATG